TTTTTTTTTTTAATTTTTGTTGGGGGGGTAATTTGATTTATTTATTTATTTTAATAGAGGTACTGGGAATTAAACCCAGGACCTTGTGCATGCCAGTCATGCACTTTACCACTAAGCTATACCCTCTCCCACTCCCCACCCTTTTTCTTAAGAGCTTTCAAAGGGAAAGTTTGGAATGATTTCCACAGTATGTATGTGTCTATATCTATATCTATACATTTTTTTTTACTATGACATGATAGTAGAAATAAGAAATCTACAATGGATGGAATGTGAAAGTCAAAATAACTAAATCACTGAAATCATTTTTTCTAATGTATATACTAAGATGCTTTGATTTGGAATGAACTACAGCAGAGAAGTTTTGAGTTTTATTTTACTTCTCTAACAAATAGCACTCATAACAATAATGAGAGCAGCTAGCAAATAAAAAACACTTTAAGTTGAGACCTGACAATTCTTATAGAGTTTTTATGTAAATACTATTATTGCCTCTATTTTACATATAAAGAAACTGAGGTACAGAGAAATTAAATTAGAACAAGGTTAAATACTTGAGAAACCATAATTTGAACCCAGAAAATCAGATTCCAGTACCATATTATGGGAAAACTCTACTAGAATATGTAACAGATTTTTATTCTGGAACTCATTCTCTGAAAATTTGTAAATCTCGAATCTTGAATCTTAGAACGAGAAGGGACTTGAAGGGCTCATCTAGCTAGGCTCCTGTCTTTGGACACATAAAGCATTATCTCTGTCTTACAGCTGAGGTATGAACTTAAATGACATACTCAAGCAAATCAAAGGAAAAAGAGCTATGCTTGGTGACACTCCAAAGGTCTATGAGAACTTTGCATTTAATTAAATTAACAGAAATATAACAAATAATTGAAATTTAGAGTTTTCCAAGGAATGTAGTACCTGAATAAGAACAAACATATAAATCAACGAAGTAGAATTGAGAGTCCAGAAATAAACCTATACATCTATGTCAACCAATTTTCAACAAGGGTGCCAAGACCATTCAATGGGAAAAGAGTAGCCTTTAACAAATGACATGGGATAACTAGATAGCCACATGCAAAAGAATGAAGTTTGGACCCTGACCTCACACCATATACAAAAATTAACTCAGAATGAATCAAAGACCTAAATGTAAGATCTAAAACAATTATGAAATAAATATATGTATATTTATAATTTTTCTATTTATTCTAAAGGTACTTAGGCAAAAAAGAAAAGAAAAAATCTTTTTCTAAATTTTGGAAGTGATCATCATTATTGTTTAGAGTTTCCAAACCTATTGTGAATGTTTGTGACAGTGATTCCTCTAGCCTTTGTGTAAAAGGGAACAGCAGTAATACTATCAGAAGACCTCAAATCATCCTATGTGCACTATTGATTAAATAATGATTGAGATAAGGTAAACTGCATGTCTGAACAATAAGCAATATTTGAAATTTGGTATCCTTTTATAACTGAAAGAGATAAAGTTTTTATGTTTTAAAATACTGGTAAAAACACTATTTTGAAATGGAAGTAAAGAAACGTAAGGTCAGACTTTGGTGAGGAGTGTACCGTAGTCTCTCCCTGAGACAGTTTTGCCTAGCTATCGTATAATAGTCTTCTGACCCTAATATCAGTTGAAATTTATATATATATAAAATTATTCCCTTGCTCTTTGAACATGACACCCAACTACATTTTTTTATCAAAATATTTACAAAAATGTAAAACTTAACATTTCCTTAAATCAGTCATGATATAAATAGGAGATAAAACTCTTAAAGCTCTTAAGGACTGGCAAGGAAAATCACAATGTGTAGGCTATGGAGAGCGAATAAGAACTGGAAGCAGTAAGCTTACAAAGTTAATCAAAGATATATGCATACACAGAACCAGGGGACTGTGAATTTATTTAATAAAAGTTTACATGGTGATTTCTACAGGCCAGTTGCAGTTAATATTAATGAACTCATGTGATACTTATAATAACCCTATATTGTTGGTGCTATCATTTCCATTTTACAGATAAGAAAAGAAAGGACAGAAAATTTAAGTGACTTTTCCAAGATCACACAGCTAGTTGAGTGGCAGGATTTAGACCTAAGCAGTTCCCCTCCAGTTACCATACTCTTAACCACCATACTATCCTACTTATTCAGTGGAAGTACTAAAATAGGGTCAAAGTAAAGAAACAGACTGTGTCAAAGTAGCACTGGATGATAGAAAGAGCCTGGGCTTTTGGAAGGAGATAGACCCAGTTAGTTACATGGTCTCAGTCAAGTCCCAACCTCCTCAGCCTCAGCTTCTTCATCTGTAAAACTTTGGAGAATTAGCAGTACCAGTACTGGCACATGCTAGGCACATTATATGTTAATAATGCATGATTATGACTTACACAGGCCTCCAAAGTTGAGAATTTGAACAAAGACCAGGCTATAAAACTAAGGTGTATGAGTCCATCAAAGTAATGGAAACCTTCAGCTTTCTGTCCCTGCTTGTGAAAGACGCTGACAAGATCTTCTCACAGGTTAAACAGGTGAGGAAGCATGGATGAAGTCAGATGGCCATTGAAATCTTAGTAACATCACCTTGTTGTAACATGACTCTTTCTAACATACGTCAGCCTCCTCTCCACTATGACCAGTGCCATCCCTGCAGACTCTAAGTCAAGGTTTAAATGGTGATTGAATAATTTAGCTTATTCAATCAACAAATATTTATTGCAAGTACTATTCCAGGCATCCATGAGGATATAATAGTGAGCAAGACAAACAAGGTCCCATCCTCCTGGAGTTTTTCCAGCAAATGTAAATGGTAAGACGGATGGAGCAGCCAGTATATATAGGTATTTTGGATGCTTGAGCTTAGAATTTGATAGTAAAGTAGATTCTGGCAGGAAAGAGAAATACAGTGTGATATCCCTGGAAATTCTGTCATATACTTAAACATTTATAGATAATAGAATTGTGACACCTTTATTTGAATACATTATATAAAGTAACACTAGATTGAAAGTATATAAATTATCTATTTCTCTTAGATTGGTAAAACAACCAATCGGTGTTCTTACTTGAGTTATTAGCATTCTGTCAGACTTGTACAGTAATGATTAGTTACCCTTTATTGTACTTTTGGCATGCTTCCCATGTTTAATTTCATTGTAGAGAAGGAACACATAGTTAAGGAAATTGCAAAGAGGGAGAAAAGTTAAAATAGGGAAAATAATGACATGGATTCAAAACTGACTTTAACTTATTGTTATTATAAGACTTCTGCAAGTAGAGTGAAAAAAATTGTTTTACATTTGCATTTGAACTATTTTGTCTTCATTCCTCACAACTTTGAATTTGAAATATCTTATTTCCTTTGAGTTAAAGATTATATTCATCACAGCATAGGAAATAACAAGCATGCATTGAAACATGTATAAAAATAAATTCTAAATATCTGTGTGGTGAAAACACTAAGATTACTCATTGAATATATTATGCATGTCTTAAAACATATATATGTATAGTCTTAAA